GTAACGCATTGTGAAAGTAAGTACAAACTTGGGGCGAACATTGAGTCCTGAGGCATTTCAAATCCTTCCACGGTTCCCCTTTGGATCTGAAACGAGATGCATTGTACTTTGATGAGGCTGGATGCTGGAAGGCCAGCAGCAAGTTTGGAGTTCGTCAATTCCAAAACAATGACTGTGAATAATCTCAAGTCCAACTCAAAAGAGAAACTGAGTTCAAAACATTCTCAGGGTAATTTTAAGTGCTGAAATATGGACATACCGACTCCCATTGGGGGATTTCATGTGTATATGAAAATAGATATGTCTTCTTGACTTTTGTTTGCACCAACACAAGTAAAAGTACCAGTTCTCACCCCTTGGCTTGCATGTCATCCTGCCTGTCCCTGATCCCTTGTTGGCAGCTGTATGTTGGCTTGGGAACACAACACCTCTGGAAGGGGTGTCATTGTTTGTAGCAGCTGTTTAGTCGGCCTGTCTCAGGAGCTCAGGGGAAGGCCAATTACCAGGATTTAGGCTGTTGGGAAACAGCTGAGGTGCAGGCAGCTTAACTGCTTGTGCAGCATTGTTACTATCACTGTGTGCGTGTGTGACACTTGGATGGACTGAAAAGAGGGATCCAGGGAGGAAATTCACAAGCATTGTCCTCCAATAAACAAACAGGGAGCTCTACTTCATGTGGCGGTTCATGGTGGGCTTGTTTGGATGGTAGAGGGAAACAGTAAAAGATCTGACTAACCTCTGGACAACAGCGCTGAACATGAGAGCTGTTGTGTTGCAGGGCTTTGCGGTGAGACTGCGACTGGGATTATGTCAGTTTACGGAGGAGAGGAACACACGATTTGCGTGGTTGGACTTTGTGTAAGCATTTTCTTGCCGACAACACGGCGCGGCACATGTAGGAGCGCCTGCGGTCAATGAAATCATGTGAATGAAAGCTGAAAAACTTGACACCAGGTATCAAAGCATAGATTTCCTGCCCCCGAAGACCCGTTCGTGTTCCATTTCACGAAGAGCATGTCTCTCTTTTCTGTGAGAGGAGTTTACTCTGGCAACTCAACCACCTACACTTATCCATTTCCTAGTGCTCTCAGGTCAGAACAATGTGCATGCCTCCACATGCTGTTCTTACAAGTGCAACTGACCTTTTTTGTTTCAAACTGGCATGTGTCACAATTTTCCCTCCGACCCTCTCTCAAAACAAAACGGAGATGATGTCCACCTGTAATAACACCCAGCGTGTCCTCGTTTGGCCAAAACCAGTGTTTACTTGCGGTTCCGTGTAAGCACGGCTCTCTCCGTCTTGTTCTCGGTGGTTTGCGAAGACGTTTATTATGAGAAACGAAGACAGGAAATATTTTTCAACTGCCTTAGGTTAGCTCAACAAGGAGAGGGAGTCAGAAACCACACCACAATAAAGCGCAACGCAGAAGAAGTGCAGAGAAATGTGGCTTTAATATAATAGTGGAATCAAGAAGAGAAAGGCGGAATGTGAGTGATTTGAGGAAATGATACATAATGAAAGAGAACGTAAGACAAGACAAATGAAGCGTGAAAGGCAGGAGTCGGATTCCTTCTTGGGTGAAAAAAATGTTGTCTTCACTGTGAAAATGAAATATCTACAGGTAAAACAAAAATCTGAAATAATGAAAGTAATCCTTTTAGTTTGTTATCTATGCGCTCACTGTGCAGTGCAGTTCAGCTCATTCTTGCATGTCTACTCAAAGCTCCCAGACTAATGCAAACTTAAAGTGAAACTGATCTACAGTACAGATGTGCCCATTGGGAAAACATAATAATTTATAGGGTCTAATTTGTAATAATAAGGCTTCGCTGACCCTTTTTCCCTCCCATGTGATTAGTTCTGTTCACACAGTGTCCGTGATCTAAGCGGTGGCCTTAATGTCTCGCCTTCTCAAACACCCATGAAGTTCCAGTTGATCCAAAACAGTCCCAAACCTGAAATGATTGCAAGGCCGGATGAATTTTTTAATCAGTCAATTCTTTCAGGAATCTAACAATTAGGCCCAGCGGTTCCCTTGTATTTGCATCCAAAAGACAAAGTCCTGGTTTGAATGAACAGAGGCTCCTCGAAGCATCCTTCGCAGCAAGGTAACTAATTACTTCAGCATGCCACTGGAGTCGTGTTTCTTCATCGAATGGGGAAATGGTTTTCAGAACGTCTGCTTTCTTAGATTTCCCTCTGTGTGGTTTTACCTGGTGTCAGCGAGAGTTTAGTTTGCAGCAAAATGGCGAAGGTGAAGTCCAGAGAAGTCTGTCTCATGCGCTGAGATAACCGTGCACTTCCATGCCTCCTGTCAAGTCCTTCACCAGCAAATGCAGAGAAGCCACAGATAAAAAGGTGACTGGGAAAGCTATAGGCAGAGTGGAATATCACTTAGGTTTTCAATGGAAAATGTTGCTCAGGGAATCTGGGGTTTGGCCAGCTAAGTGCAGTGAGGGATGAGAGGTCAAAAAAGCTGAAAGGATTCTTTCAGGAAGTGTCAGCGAGAGCCATCTCGCAGGTCCAGAGACAGCTGTGTAACAGGAAAACCGAAGGGACATCCTGATTGGTTCTGATTCGTAATGAAACCACAGGATGCCTCTTGCAACACTAGCCAGATTGTGGTGTTCACTCCCTTCAGTTTGGTAAAAGCTCTGTCACCATCTTACAAAACCCTTGCAGCCTTGTTTCCTCTAGCTTGTTACCTCTCCTGCCAAGAGAGAGGTCTTGGCCTCAGCTCCGTGGCAGAGCTCAGGTTTGGGAAACGCAGTGGCATGGTAGAGCCATTAATATACAGGAAGGACTGAGCCCCAAGGAAAAGGACACACCTCGGAAGTGTGAGGCATAAATTCAGTCTTTCCCCTGGACTTCCTGAGGTGCCACATCACTGTATAAAAGCTTGTTGCTTTGTCTGTTGGCTTTATCATGCAGAATCCACCGTACCGCAAATGTTCAAATTATAGTCGCAGACTATAGTAGGTATCCACATCATGACAGAGGATATAGAAAACCAAAACTTTATGAAACCTATATTCAAAGCCATTTATCTCCTTCTGCTCTCTTCAACTGCAAAGAGACAGATTTTGATGTGATCCCAAGTTGAACAAATAAAGTCAAACATTCTCGTTAAGGTAGCAAAAATACACATGAGATAGCAAACGCTGGGGCCCAAACCACTAATGTGTGGTATGCGGTTGACGCAGCTAACTGCTGTGTACATTCAGCTCTCCCAATGGTTTGTCATGATTAGTTTGTTTAGCTCTTAAAAACCACCACGCCTTTTGTGTCATAAACAAACATCTCCTATATTACATTTAGTGTCGAGCCGTGGCCCGTAGATGGAATTAAAACTTTGGCCTCCTTACATATACAAAAGAAGGCTAAAGTTGCCCAAAGTGACTGTTTACAGAATTTGTGTTTGCATGTTCTTCACTCATCAAAACGTTTGAAATGATAAAAAATAACACTTTCATTCTCTCTAAATACTCTTACCATGTAAAATTTCTTCAGTTTGTGTTTAAATCTGGACTATAACTGAATAAAGTAACTGAACGTACTATTAGAGGTTTCGCTTATTGTTGTAAACCCAAATAGATTTATTACAAATCTCCTCAGTTCCACACAGGCTATATACGTTTTTGTGTTTCTTCTTTTTTTTACATGTAGAAACCCTACATTTGATCGCACATTTCTCACCAATGTTCTTTACATCTACGATGAAAGCGTCACTTCCGGTGATTGCTGATATTGCTAACAGTTTAACATGTTAGCAATTTTTTAACATTTAAGCTTTAATTGTATATGTATGTACCCACCTTAACCACCTGTAGCTTGTAATAGCCTGTTTTAAAGCCTTGATTTGAGAATTGCCTTTTTGTTTTTTGGGGTGTGTTAAAGGATCAGAGGGTGGAGTGCTAAGTTATCAGTTAACACTAGGAAGCTTGGTTAACAAGGCCAGATGCACGTAGTTGTAAGTAATATCACAGCTCAGTCACACTAGAGTGAAAATAGAATGGCAGCCTACTTACCACTAAGAAAAATTGTTGGTTTCTTGTTTTTTTTCTTCTTACTTGTTTTTACTTTCAGCAGCTGATTGCAAGTAGTTACAGTGACCTGTCTCCAAACAACAACAGTCTGACTGCAATCACTGTCAGACAGATTGTTGAAGGTTTGCAAATCATTGCCAACTAATTTCAAAATGTGGACAGATTGCCAACGGGTTGCAATCAGTCAGAGTCAGCTTGCACAACATGCAACTCTTTGCAATAGGAGGCTCAACTTAAAAGGTTGTACTCTTGTTTTCTTTTCAAACCTATGAGCTTCTGGCTTGACCTGCAAGCTAATGTGAAATTCCATTTGGTGCAATTTTTGTTGTGTATGCAGACAACAGCAGATTTGTGATTCCTCTTCTATTTATCACAGTTAATCGCCCTATCAGCACAAACAGATACCTGTCTGCGAAACAGAGGGCCTCAATTGGCCAAATGAGGAAGGTTACAGGAACTTCCACATTGGCTTAATTTTCACCCGTGGAAGTTGTTGCTTGGTATTAAGTTCGTTAGTGAACCAGTAACATGGAAAAAAACAAACAAAAACAAACCCCAAACCCCATCGATTTCATTTAGAGGTTTATTCATTGCTTTCATCAAGTAACAACTGTTTTTATAAAAGATATTTTACATGAGAGCAAATCGGACAAGATGAGATATGTGTTTGGTCATTGGATTGAAAATCCAGTCTCTATCAAAACAAACAAACAAATAAACATAACATTTCAATTTATATAACTTAACAATAAAAGAACCAAACTATGGTCACCACTTTCTTTGTTTCGACAAAGTCTGAAATAATAATTTATAAGCTTTAATATACGTTTGCTTTCCATTCGTCAGCATGGTTGTGAAAGCATGGTTTGTGCTGGAGAAAGACATATACAGTACCAAAACTCGTGGCTTTGTTTATACTTGTAGGGTTTTCTTTGGGGAGGGGGGGGGGGGGGGGCAGGTAGGAACAACAAAGGCATCTTTGTTGTCTCTGAAGCCTCCGTCCTTTTGCTCTGCCTCTTCCCAGAAAGCGGGTATTGTGTGAGGTGTGAGGGTCACGAGCGGCCCAGAGGTTCAGAAGTGCGATTAGAAACACAAGGAGCGGGTCCGATGGTACCCCGCAGCCACCCTGCCTGGATCAGGTGTATAAAAAACACATGTGGGAGCCCCCCCACCTGCATAAGCAAATAGTGCCTGGGGAGTGGCTAGTGCGATTCATTCCATAATACTTCCATAGTCACACTAACAGGAATAACATAGAGTTGTCCTTCATTTCTCTTTACTTCCATTCATTTTTATGTAAAAACACCTCCACTGAAAACTGTAAGTGCAGCTTTTTTTTTTAAACAGTTTGCACATTCAAGACACATAAAAAGGTCAAAAAGTTACTTTGTGCAGCTTCACTCCCTCTCAAAGTCCTTGACCAGATGCACAGTCTGGGTTTGTCAAAAAAAAGAAGGAAAACTGCACAATTTCTGAAGGAGTGTACATTTTGACACATATAAACAGTACCTTGAAGATATACATAAAATTAAAAAGTCAGCACAGAGAGCCAACTTCAACTTCTCCCATTGACTTCAATTTCATTCCCCTGTTTGTGAAGTTGGCATCGGTCCCCCCAAACGTTTCTAACATATGCACCGTACATTAGTACATTCTAGATTCTTTCCATTGGATGACAGAAGAAGCGCTTGATGCTTAAGAGAAACTGAGTTTTGATCAAGAACAAAACAGACACACACACACACAGACGGACAATAACAAATACTTGCTTGGCCGACGAAAAGATAATACTGAAATGTATTTTTGAAGTCAGGGGTAAAAAAAACGGAGCAAAGGGGAAGAAAGTCAAACTTTTAAGCCTGTCCTCTGGCTCCTTGTAAACAGCAATTAGAATGTAATGCTAAACAGCTGAGAGGGCTGAGGATCAAAAGGCTGGGGGTGCTTGTGGCGGTGGCTTTTTTTTCTCATACTAGACCATCTTGTTCTGAGCGCAGACGTGAAAAGGCAACAGTGTCCGCATAAAACACTGATAATGCAAAGCAAAAACATCCCTTTTAGGTCATGGCATTCCTCCACTGAGCCTTAAAGCACGCCTCTAATGCGTATATCTTTGTCACCGCGTCTTCATTTGGGTCCAGCTGAGTGTCATGTGCACATTTGAGCAAGTAAAAAGCCACGATAAGAAAGGAATCCTTCGCTGGTTAATGAAATCCAAGGCCGAGATGTGGACAAGGAGGAGCGAGCTGGCTGCTTATCTGCGTAGCCAGCAGTTGCTGTTGGCCCGCCATCGACGTGGCTGGGACTGGGACAGAGTTCAGTTTACAGTCAAAATGAAGACTCCAGTCAAAACAAGAACAATGCCTTCAGAGGATTCACACCGGGCATTTTCCCAAGCCCAGTGCGCACCCGTACAAGTGTGTGCCACTCGAGTTCGTCGGCGCCTCGGATTGCTGAGCTCACTCAGCCCTTAAGGCACATGCTGTTGCTGGGAATTTTCATTCACAAATTGAATCCTGAATCCTGAATCATGACTGGGACCCTAAAAAAGTGTTCCAGAGGCACGTCAGTATCTGTGCTCCACATCGACCACAGTCAGTGAGTTATTTGTCTAAACAACAAAGGCACTTTGGCAAAAAGACTCAATTTGTAGCGTTAAAAAAAGAAGAAATAAAAAATAAAACATGAAAAAAAATAAGTTAACATTACAAAAGTTTTTTTCTTTTTTTTTTTAAGGAAATACTGCTGCTAAAACTAGTACTCGCAAAAGAGAAGATAGCCAAGGCCTCTTATGAACCTTTTTTTTCAGACATCAATAACAACCAAAAAGAATGAAAGTTCTTTTTCTGCCTCACACTTCCTGACTTCAAATACCCCCACCCCACGACCACCCTCCCTAAACAACAGTTCTTTTCATTTTGGGGTGGGGAGGGGGGAGTTTATTTGGACTCTGGTGAGTTTGCTGAAACAGGAATGTTTGCTGGTTTGCATAGAGGGGACGGGAGGACGACGTCCAGGCTAATATTTCTGCACCAGCGGCACTTTGACAGTCTTGATCTCTGCTATATGAGAGGACTTCTGGATAATGCAGCTGGTGGTCCCGGAGGCACTGTCCTTCCCCTGTGCCAGGTTGGTCAAGGCCATGGCGGCGTTGATCTCCTTCCAGTATGTCTCGTCTTTGCCTTTCGCCTTTTCTTTCTGTGTGGCTCTGGGGCCACCGCTGCTGCTGATGAGCGAGCTGACCATGCAACACGAAAGGACAAAAACAGAGAGTGTTACGATCAGCTCGCAAATGCAAATGACTCGATCTGGTCTGCAGCGTTAAGAGAAAGGCTGCTCACCTGTCACATTTACTTGATCCATGCTCTGTGGTTTCTGAAAGCAAGGAGAGAGAGAGAAAAAAAGGTTAATTTTGCTGAGTTCATCGGGGTCAATGAGGATTTATTGGAATGTCGCTGAACATACACTCTCGCAGTGTGTGTGCAGTAGTGTGTGAGGTCTATGCTGTGCGCTCTTATGCGTACACCCTGCTTTGTGAAAACATGTGTTGCTCTGTTTTCTCTCTTTGCTCAGATGCTGGACAAAAAGGACGTTTTTTTTGTTGTTTTTGGGGTTTTTTTGCAATAAGCCGTCAAGAAACAAGGTGACTAATAGGATCGAGTTGAAAGATGTTTCTTATGACTCACAAGCTCCATTCTCTAATATTTTGTTGGAAAACAAATGGGCCCGGGCCAACGTAATTGAGTTGTCTGAGGAAATCAGATCAAAAATGACTGAGCGCAGAAGATTTAAAGGGGGAATGAAAAGGCAGCAAGTGAGTCAGTGAGAGAAAGATGGATGCCTGCTCTCCCTTTCTTTTTTCCTCTCTTCAAATGGGAGCAATCTTTATCTCATATGTGAAACATTAGCAGAGGGAATAGCAGAGTCATTAAACAATGAAACCCAACTTCTCTTCGGGGCAACCAGTGTGTTTATTTCAGCGTGCTCTTGTTGCCTGAATGCGTGTGTGTGAGTGAAAGAGGAGTTCATTTGGGTGTTTGAGCTGAACCTGTCCTGCTGTCTTGGTTCCAGCCTTAGGTGAGATCTGCCCAACAGTGAGTATGAGGACACAGGCTTGGCGTTTCATGAGGCATTAACCAAAAAGAAAAAAGCAGAGCATCTGGATTTTTCTAGTCGCGTCGCCCCCGGGCGCTCTCTTTAAGTTAACTAAACACGCGTCTGAGGCCCCATGAGCTTTTAAGAAGTTCGGTCTTGACCAGATATAGATGACTGGATGACTCAAGAATGTTCAAAGGAGGGCAAACTCTCCCCAAATTTTCATTTCGTCCAAAGATAACAGAGTTCGTCATACCTGGGTTGTCTCCTGCTCGGCTGTCAATCTGATTTCCTGAATGTTCTCACCAACAGCACAGGGTCACCCAGTCTTTTATACCCCGCCAATGTCGCATTTCCCCATAAAGCAAGTGTCTAAACCTGAGCTAGTGTTTTAACGAGACCCTTCCACCAGCCACCGTCACCACAAGGCAGCAGTTGGCGGGCGTGCATTAACGTTCTCCTTTGCTAATAAAAATCTGCACCCTTCATTCTCGCTGGAATTTCATTTGCTATCGTGGTAAGAAGGGACTGGAAGAGGTTGAGCGAGGACACTGTGTTCAGGCTTCGACATAGCCAACAGAGACCCACTGAGAGCAAAGGAGCCAAAGCTCGTTCAGCGACGGGGAAAGCACATGCAACATTTAACCGTTCTGTTGTGTCACCTCTAACCTCGCCAAACCCTCCGTAGATTTTCCAAATATCTGGATACAGCGTTCAGGCTTGAAGCGCCTAATTACTCCCAACGCCGCGCTCTGTTCCTCTTTCATGACAGCGTCGGGGTTCAAGAGGCCCCAGAGCTAATGCGAGCCTGATTATAACATTTCCTGCGCTTTTCCCGCTCATTCCGTAATAGGTGTAATCCACAGAGAGAGGGAGAGAGAAAGAGACAGACAGAAGAAGCCAATCATTCTTAGACAGAAGAAGAGCAGGAATGTGTGTGTGCACGTGTGTGAGAGCGATGAGGACGTGATAACCCAGTACTACAAACCACAGGATGAGATTTGGGGCTTCAGCGTGTAAGTGTTCCAAAAAAAATCCTCTCATTCCCATCCGACCACAACTCCCTGCTGTCCCGTCTTTTGCTCTGCCTTTATCTCACTTCATCAGCGAGTCCCCTTTTCCTTTACTGATGTCCCCCAGGTCGACTGTTCACCTTTTGATTTGCTGTAATACCCCCTGATTGAGGTACTCGTCAGGAACCAGCCAAAACAAATGCAATGTTTCCCGTCTGTTTTAATAAAGAGTGACTCTGTGCTATGTCAAGAGCAGGTTTTTTTAAAGCCCCTGATATTATCCATCTCTTCTTAGTCTCCAGTTTTTAATCCCTCTATATTTCTTCAGCCATTCTTCAAATTAATTGCCTAAATTGCCAGTGTCAACTGAATACTTGAAAACTGTGAAGCCATCCTCCCTGCACCCTATCTCCATCTTTCTTTCCTGATTGTTGCCAGGGCTCCAAAACAGATTGGTCCTGATTAAAAATGTGCACAACACTCCGTAATCACAGTGCTGTAATTAGAGGCCAAATTACACAGTTTTCATGCGCTGTTTATGCCCCCTGCCCCCCTGCCTTCGAGATACATTAGCTCAGTGTTTACGGCTGTGGTGCCTGGTGTAAAGATCAGTTGGTGACAGCAACTGATAGCAGCAACATCAAAGACAAACAACAGGCAGAAGAAAAGTGTGTGTGTGTTTGTGGGATCTGAAGTGCAGCGTTTGAGACTTTCCATCCACAGCTTTAAGTGTTTCCAGGGTGTGTGAGGCAGCCACTGTCCAGATGATTCCTTTCAGAACACACACATAAAACTGTGTTTTCTGAGCTTTCTAGCAGGTGGATGCAAGGATGACCTTTGCCACCCTGCACTCCAAGGCCCTCATTGGGGACTAGACACCAGCTCTCAACCCCTTGGACCCCAGATTTTGAAAATGCACCACTGCTTGCAGAAAAACTCTGTTTCCAAAGCCCTTTGCCTAAAACATCTAAAACTGGGATTTTTAAAAACAAGAGCAGCGCCAAAGACTCAATAAATGGCCAATAAATCACTGAAGATTTTTTTTTATTATTTTCACTTTTTTTTTCTTTTTTAAACTCAACTACTTTGCTACTGAATACTCAGTCAACTTTGCTGTTGCCTTTGGGCTTCACTGACAGTGGGGTTGCACGGACCGCCAAAGGGGAAAGCTAAGAAGTCTGATGGTTTCTGGCATTGTGCTGGAAGTCCAAAAATACTAGCTCACTTAACATCACAGCGGGACGATGGAGGGGAAGGGGGAAAAGAACATAGGAGAAAAAAAAAGAAAAAGTAGCTTTAACAAAACTTGGTGAAAACGAGGGAAACAAGCAGGGGCTGACAAATTATTGAGGTTATGAGGTTCCACCTGTTAAGATGGCTGCAGAGGAGAGTGGCTGACTATCATCATTACCATCTGGAGCTGTTGTTAGCAACTCGCAACAATAAACAAGGAAACCTGAGTTGCACAAACCATGGGCTGGGCTGAATCCGACAGACAAATAAGCACACACACACACACATACACACACGCAAGGGCATTTTATGATATTGCAGGCTTTTAGCCTTAGTATTATCCAGAATAATTTCTCGTCACCATGGATAGTATAAAGAGTCTAAAAATAAGAATGGAATAGAAATTGAAAACAAATGATTACCTAGAAACAGAAAAGATGGCTCAATTTTAAAGCAAGAGGGTTTAACAATTCTAACATTTATAGGTCTTTTATGCTAATTTCAATCTCCATATTTTTATTCTCTGGCTCTGCTAGAGTAGGTCTGCATGATTCACAGAGGTGTATAATCCTTATTCATCTTATATCATGCATTGGTGCAGCCCTGTTGACTGAAACAAGTGCTCTCCCTTTAAGGCAACACTCCCTTTAAATCTTTCTTCTAACAGGCTTCTCCCTGCAAAGAGAAGGGCTGAGGTGCATGCAGGTTGGTGGGGCTTTGGTCTTCAGTTTGAGGTGACTGCATTAGAGCTATCAGCACTTTTTGCTTGGAATGTTAGAAGCGAGGAGAAACAGCTAGCTTGGCTCTACCAGCATGTCTACAGCTTAAGCATTAAGATAAGATAAGATAACCTTTATTAGTCCCACACGTGGGAAATTTGTTTTGTCACAGCAGGAAGTGGACAGTGCAAAAGTTATGACGCAAAAATTAGAATACAATAAGAATAAATACAGTACACAGCTGTACAGAATAGAATAAAATAATATACTATATACAGTAGAATAAAATAGAATAAAAATATACAATAAGATAAAAATAGAATACGAATGCTATATACAACTGAGTAAAAATACAACGATGCCAGAAAAGATTATTGCACTTAGTGTTATTGCACATGTGTGGATGTGTGTGTTTGTTCAGTTAAAGTCTTTGTTGTGGAGTCTGACAGCAGTGGGGAGGAAAGACCTGCGTAATCTCTCCGTCCCACACCGTGGGTGCCGCAGTCTCCCACTGAAGGAGCTGCTCAGTGCTGTCACAGTCTGCTGCATGGGGTGGGAGACGTTGTCCAACAGGGATGACAGCTTAGCCGCCATTCTCCTGTCACTCACCACCTCCACTGGGTCCAGAGGGCATCCTAGAACAGAGCTGGCCCTTCGGATCACCCTGTCCAGTGTAACACACTGGATCTTCTTTTGCTTAATCTGTACATCATAGGAGCATTGTATCAACTGTGTGTAGGGAGTCCTTAGAGAAGCCTAATCCATTTGAAACCTGAACATGTGTTCACTTTAGATACATTTAAAGATGATGCAGAAATGATGTGCTTTGTCTGGATATGTAAGACTACCAGTATGGATGGAAAGCTAAACTAACAATTGTCTGGGCTGCCAGTTTTGAAATAAATCATGAATAAATTCTGTGAATCTTAAAAAGTTCTTCTCAAAATTGGCTAAACTGAGAGATCTGTTAATTATTTATTATTAAATGTATTAGGCTATACTAATAAAGGCAGTGTAGAAAGTCACTGGGTAGAAGGGAAAATATGTTTACTTTGCTCTGAATGAGAAAATATTCCACCACTGGACGAAGGCCGGTGAATCTGGACGCAGAGACAGAATCCAAACTCGACTGTTAAAGTAGGAAATGAGCTAAGCTGATTTCCCCTAACAGGACCTGATGAGAACCAGAGTGGTGCTGCAGACTGGACAATCTGGTCACCGCTGACCTGTGCAACCACAGGATAGGAATGGACCATCATGTCATTAAGCAGCCTCTTTGAAGCCCGCCCAAACCCGAGGATGAGTCAGAAGTTAC